CCTAGAACTTGTATTTGAATTTAGCAGGATTAGAAAACACAAGGTATATATAAAAATTCAGGTCTATGTATACTTGCTATAAATGAAGAATTGGATATTGAAATTTAAAAGTTATTAGGAGTACAAAGGACCTAGAAAAGTAAAAAGAAAAAAAAACAGTGTTGGAAGACATCTATTACCTAATTTTAAGACTTCCTCTAAAGCTACAGTAATCAAGGCAGTGTGGGCGTAAGGAAAAACATATAATAATCAATGGAATATAACAGAGAAGTACAGAATCTTTTAATTCTATGACCTCTGAATGAGAGAATGAGCAGCTGAAAGAAGTGCCATTAGTACTTATTATGCAATTTAATTTCTATAATTAAAAATCATTAAAGATTATTTTCAGAAAGTATTGCATTAACTGCTTAATTCATTTGCATCTCCATGAAAATGATATATTTGAAATTTTGAGGTTTGTTCAGATAATTGTATGGTCTTTAGACTTTAAAATTTTGGAGCACAAAATGCTAAGAGTATACACGTATATTAACACGTAGACATATATATATTTATATAGTGAGAGATCTATATAAACTCATAATATATGAAAGTATAACTAAATCAATATATAATATGCTAAATCAAAGTATCATCTGTTGATCAAATACCATGGCATAATAATAAAATTTTTCCAAATGAAATTAAATGTCATTTCATTAGTAAAATAGCAAATGATATTAAATATCAAACCATGGGGAAAGTAATGTTAAGACACATAGAGAAAACACAAAAATATTTTAAACCATTTAAACAATATGGATACAGTTTTCTTCTAAATGTGAATACCCGGTAATCTTTCCTAAATTTTGTTCTTCACTGTCCTGAGGCAAAGAAGCACATGTGTTAAGCAAAAGAACAGACTGATTCCCAAGGTCTTCAGGGTTGTCTGAATTGCCACTCACTGTCAATATCTTTTGATAAGAGGCAAAAAAGTGTTGAATGGAACTTCAATTGAAGTCCGTAAGTTATAAGACACTGCTTGTTGTTGGGCAGAATAATAAGAATGTGGGTACGGGGTGGCATAAATTGAAGTAATTTGAAGAAATAAGCTTGAAGTCTGATAACTTTGCTACTTGTTTGTCCTATCAATGAATATACAGTGTAGTCCATACAATTACAGTGGTATAGTCCTCCAGCTACATTTTCAACTTGTAGAGACAGATGATAGAAGTAAAATCACTGAAACAACCCCCACCACACACACACACTGCTAACAGCAACATGTACTATTCCTTTGCTTTTTATTTAGCTCTGTTATAGAGTTGCTCTGAAGCACAGAAATGCCTGGTCCCAGCTTGGGGGGACTCAGCCTTGTTGAGCAACATCCCACAGATCGCTGCTGCTTTTGGCCTTAAGGCAGTGTTTGCTTTAAGACTTTTGAAATACTGCCAATTGTTAAATCATTTTATAGCACATACAGAGTGAACATATACTACGAGTGTTTGAAAATCCCATAAAAAATTAAAGTCAATTAGTAACCCCAATAATTGAAGACTGACCTTTGGAATGCAATAAACCTGCATTTGGTTTGCCTGTTAAAAAAAAAAAAAAAAAAGGAATAAAAAAGAATAATACTTCCTCCAGACTTTTGCCCAATGGGAGTACAATGGGAGTAGTAATGAAAAACCTGGTACTTATGAGGAATACCAACATGGAGGAATTGGGATTCATTTGTGTTTTTCCTGAAAAATAAATGCTAGTAAGTGCATGTGAGAGGACAGGATAGGGTAGTAGGAAACTCTCAGGTAACTGACACTTGGAAGGTAAACACACGTACTGTGACATCCAAGATACACCCCAAACAATAATCATTTTAATTGCTCTACATGGTATCAAAATGTCACAGATACTAATTTTCTATTGTGGCTGCAACAAACTACCACTCACATACCGGCTGAGAACAACGTTCTAGAACGTTTCCTCAACATTCTAGAAGGCTCTAGAGTTCAAAAGCCCAAGAATCAAGGCACTGGTGGGACTGTGTTTGTTCTGGAGGCTCCAGAGAGGAATCTGTTTCCTGGACTTTACTTTTGCATCCTCTAGCCCTTCCTTTGGGCCTTTCCTCCTTCTTTCAAGCCAGCACTCAGCATCTTCCCACCTCTGACTTCCACTTTTACTTTCATGGATTCTTTTGGGGCTCTCATTCTCTAGCAGCCTCTTATGAGGGAACTGGCAATTACACTGGGATTACTCAGATAATTTGCCATAATCCCTTATCTCGGGATCCTCTGCACATCTGTAAATCACTTAAATTAATGTATTCATACATTCCAGGGATCCAGACAAGAGCATTTTGGGAGGACTTTTGCTCAGCCTACAGCACTATGTGAGAAAATACCACCATCTGAATCTCACTGTGAAGAAGGATTTCTTAATTTTCGGATACACATTTCCCATCTGTGATTCTAATCTTTTTTGCCACCTGTCACTGAAGCCCGGAGTTGCAGTTAGCAACAATTCTGCAAGTTTAATATTTTTTCACTTAATAAAGGAAATGTTTAAGGGGAAAATTACCATGAAAATCAGATTTAACTTCAGATGGGATTGTACTATTTACTTACTACTTAAGAAAAAAGTTTAGTTTTTGAAGTCAATTTTATTCAAATTTATGTTATCTAAACATGAGCTGATACTTACCTGTACATCTGGCTATCTGATTTAAGCTGACATTATTATTTTTTCTCTTCCTCTTACATAGCTATTATGTACAAAGATCAACTCCATCAATCAGTGCCCATAGGAGTTGCAAGAATATCAAGTACTTCAAAGTTTGAATTGAAATTGAAAGTGCTCATCCTTACCTCAAGGCCTAAGATATCCAGTGTCTCCTACATTCTTTTATTTTTGTCTTGGGTAACCAGGTCCTCTAAGAGCAACAGAAACCTACCTCTGTTCTGGCTTCCTACAAAGCAGTGCTGTTTTTAAAACAAATATACCAGAGGTCAGCAAAGTTTGTTTTTATTCAAAACTATTAGACATATTGAATAAACATATTGCCACCACATTTCACATAACAATTAATTTATTTTACAATTAGAAGAGAAGATGAGGAAACCATAACATATTTCTTATTTCCTCCATTTGTACGCTGAAGATGGTAAAAATAGGAAATACTACCAAAAGTATTCATAGTTGTGACTAAGGATGTGTCAGAGAGAATTAAACCCTTTGCTAACTACAGCACTCAGAGTGATTAAAAGAGGGTTTCAAGTTGAGCTCCAGATATATACACATAGGAACTTTAATGTGTAAACTGTAAGGGGAGAAGTAGACCATATAATGGTTTTTATACTGTTAGTTAATTGGGTCAATAACAACAAAGAAATTGGACACGCTTTGAACTTTTTCAGGGATGAGAGTTTAATATCTTCTTTTCTTAGCCTATAGAATTTCTGAAGTAGAAAAAATGCTGTTTATTAAATTTTGCAGAAGTATGTTATGATCATCTCACTGAGCAAGTATTAAATATTTGTTACAGACATCTTTGTTAATAAGATAATTTATCTAAATAAAGAGAAGTGTCTTTTATCTCTCCTTTTCATTTATTTTTAGGTTATTATTCAGTATCTGAATTATAATAGCTGTAGAAAGACTAACACAAAAAAAGTTTATGTGGTTCACTTCTCCAGTAATAAATAATGGAACACCTACAGAATTTGGAGGACTCTGAATTATGGATTTACTCTGGTAGAAGCAATAATAAGTTACCCCAAATCATCTGCATCCTAACTCTCCCTTGAGTTCTTATAATGTTGAAAAATGTTAAAATATTTATATGTCCTCCCTCTTGAGTTAGGATAGTCAATGATCCAGTTCTAAAAAATGAATCACAAACAGACATTGGTAAGATACCCACAAGAGCATTACAAGGGTAGATGGAATCTTTATACATGATTTTTATGTATTTATTTACCTTTCCTACTTCTTCCTGCCAGAATAAGAGACTGGATTCCTAGAAATGGAGTGGCCAGCTCTTAACATTAAAAAGTCAGCAGCAGAAGGAAAAGAAATGACATAGATCTTGAGAGGTTAATGCACTGTACTTAACGCTGTATTTTCTACATTCATTTATTAATTGTGTGAGATAAACGTAGTATTTGTATAAGTTAGTATGTTAAGTTTTCTGATTCTGGATATTGTGTTTTTTGTTGGCATTCTTCTCAAATTCCACAGATACACTCGCATATGTGTATTTACATGGGTGTATGCACACACAGCGTAAATCAATGTAATTGCTCCAGAAATAATTTGCAAAGATGAGTCAAATGAGTTTATGCATTTGCAATTTGTTTGTGATAACTTTCAAAAAAGGTAGAATGAGGGGAATGTTGCATTCAAAGCATAACAATGAATAACTATTGAACCAGAAATCAGCTGTCATGTCTTCCAAAACAGTTTCTGCAGGTGCATCTGTGGTCCTTGAGCCCATCCTCCTCCATCTACTGTACCCCGTGAGTGACACCTCAGCCAATGCCCTGCACAGAGGTGTTTGCCCTGTGGGTGGGACCCACGTGTCCTATTTTGAATTCACAGCCCACATTCAGAAGTACAAACTGGGTTTAATTATATGAAACAAATGATTTTTCTCACCATCTTACCTGTCCTTGAATGTAGACTGACCTTAGAGTTTCCTGGGCATTTGGATTTACTCAGACCATTCAATAAGAAATGTCCAGAAAGTGCGCTTTATGCTTTGGCTGCAAATGAGCTAGAAGGTAACTGACATTTGAATCTTCCAGAAGTTCTACATTTGAACCCAAAGAAACCCTGAAATTCAGTTTGCCCGTTGTTGGCATGTATCTTAGTATCATCAACCATCATTCTATCCTGAAAAACTTCTTTCTTAGTAAACGCAAAAAAAATCTCAGTTAGCATATGAAAAGCTCCTAGTTCTTTTCTACTGTTGGTCTATCCTGTGATGCATAATACCTGTGTTCTTCCTGGCGAGTTGGTCCTTATACGCATCACTTCTGCATCGCCTTACCTCCCTCGTCCCCTTCTGTCCCCTCTTCCATCCTCTTCCACCTCTACACATCACTGTGACAGTGGAAGGAGCCTTTCTACTTTGTGTTGGAAACCCCACTGACCAAGTTAGCTGTGATTTGTTTAAATTATTAAAGTTAGCTGGATGAAGCTTAGATATTTTAAGCCAATATCCCAACTTGTCATGACAAGTAAAGAGAAAATACCAGATGTAGTGGGATCGGATTCCAGAGACAACTGTTTTAAACCCTCTATCTGAGCAGCCCTGCCTGGCCAATTTTACTTTCCACCCTCCCTAGGAACCCTAGGAGCTCCCATTTGACCATAGCTATATTTCACAGAGGCTGGATTCTTATTTTTTTAATGTTTCTATAAAAACAGTTTCAGTGCTTTAGAGAACTATTGAACTCATTCCCTCAAAGCACTGCATCCAATTTGAAGTTTTATAAAACAGGGGTTCAATAACTCTTTGACATGACCTACTCTTCATTGCTCCAGAGGTATTAGCCCGTCCGGCTCATCAAATCTGGCCACCAACTCAAAATATTTGTGACAACCAAGAGATACACATTAAAGGACATCAAAATGTAAATGCCATAGTACTTTTAGGGTTCTAACATGATTTCTAACTTTTCGTGCTGGGAATTTCGTAAGACCACTGGCTTCTTACAGAAAAGCTAATTTTGTTCTCTTGGTTTAACCTTATGCACGAAGGAATAGCTTTTGAGATACAGTTTCATGAAATGTTCCCCATTTTCAAAATGTTGGTCGAGGTTATGCTCAAGCTAATTCTTACTTATCAATCCACAAATCAAGATACATGTTTGTTTCTAATATTTTTTATGTTACAGGAAAAAATAATCATGGACTCTGCTACTTTTTAACCATTTAATAATTTCAAATATGGTTTATATTTTACCATTAACAAAGCCAAATACATTATTTTCTTATGAGTTTGAATCAGAATACCCAGCATCTTGGAGAATGTTGAAGAATAACAGAACCTACATATGGGCAGAAAAATAGTTTTGGTCATAAATATTTTTGAAACTTTCAAGTTTGTCACCAATGTACAGATACATTATATAAACAATGCTTGTGCACGTATGTGTGTATATGGGTGTATATGTTCATATACAAATACAGGCATAAAAACACAAGCATATATGTTGTCCATTTTGCTTAAGATTATAGGCAAATGGTGAAGGATAAGTTACATTATAAGACACAGAAATCTACATATTTTACAGTAGTCCCTGATGTACAGAACTTATGTCCATCTTTCCACCTGTTTTGACTTCTAATAAAGTTATATTGCCCACATAAAATACAGATTGGAAAATATAATTCTTTTTTTAAGCAAAACATGTATTGGTACATTTTAGATATACACAATGATACCATTCATCATGAATTTAATTCTTAACAAATTTTGAACCATCATTTCTTGCAAGTTGGTACAAAAATTCCCTCCCATTTAAAGACACTATAATATAATGGCTCTGAGTATAAGTTCTTGGAGACCATGAGTTTAAAATTCATGTTTATTCTTTCCTGATTGCACAATACTTGATGAGCCATTTAGACTCCACTGTCCCAGTTTCCTCATTGTTGCTTTTTAGAGTCCTCTACCGATGGTGCTCCTTTCTATCCACCTATACTCCATCAGACAGAATCTAATTGTGTTGTCACAGTTTACCACAAAATTGTATAGGAAATGCAGATTATATTTTTGAGTTTTTTGTGCCTATTTAAAATCAGGTATAACTGATCCTTGCTGATAACTTTCAATCTATTCATTCTTCTTACCATATCAAAGAATGATTCTCTTAAAGTTTTAGCCAGATCTTGTCATTGCTCTGCTCAAACTTTGTAGCAGTTAGCTTCATTCCCATCAGTCAGAGGACAAAATCCAGCAGAAATCACTCTGCCCAATCTCAAGGCTTGCTGCCATGACCTCACAAATTTTTGAAAATTAGGCCTCTAGAAGGAAAATGTATACCCATGTGTGTAAGTGTATATTATCTAACTATAATGTTTTTCATATAAAACACAATGCATTTTAAAAATAAAAAATGTGCAATGTTTTTTATTTAAAGTTTTGTACACGTCCACCTTCAAATTGAATTTTTCTTTTTTTGAAAATCCACTATTTCATATTTCTAGGGCCAATGGTAATGCCTCAAATTCAAGTTACAAATGAAATGTAGCCACTACTCAACTCATCTTAGTAGCTTCTTCCATCACAGAGAAGCAAGTAGATTTCTGATAAGAAGGCTGTTTGATGTTTTTCTTTATGCTAATGATTAAGACAAAAGTAAAACAAAGAAGTCCTGCAAAAGTATCTCTCATTAGTCAGTAGCATGAGTGACTTCTTTGGAAAGTCAGTTGATGGTCTTGGGAATACTGAAAGAAAATTCACTCACTTTTTTCTGCTGTTCAGAATGTACCACTCAAGCATACAACATCAATTTGAGTTTTACCTGCATGATTAAATTTTCTCCTTCACTCTACTCATCACTTTTTTTTTTTCCTTTGGTACCTGGGATTGAACTCGGGTCCTTGCACCTGTGGAACAGGTGCTGGAACCACTGAGCTAAATCCCTGGCCCTACTCATCACTTTCTTAAGTAAAGACACAATGAAAACAAATAAACAAATGAATGAATGACTAGGTAAACACTTCACAATTTTGCCTGTCACAATGGCCCATTTTTGTCCACCAATATGTCACTGAAGATTATGTAGGGAAGTGGAACACGCCCCCATGATTTAGTATTTTCCCCACATAATACACTAAGTATAAGAGGTGTAGGGCTATAGGTGATAGTAAAATGTGTTTAACTTACTAAGAAATGCACTTCCTTTGTCTTGGTATAAGTTTTAATTGTATTTGTATTCAAGTGAATCTTAAAACTGG